ATATCAAACAGTTAAAGGGGTTTTAAGAGGCCAAAATTTGAAATTTTTAAACCCTTCTTGAATATAGTATATTTCATAAAATGATTTTGCAGAACGAAATACTACCAATGTAAAAAGAAATGAAAACAGTACGCATAAAGAAAATGGGAACATTCAATGAGATATATTGATACAAAGTTATAAATAAGAAAAGTTGAATAAAACTCATTTTGATACACACATTGATTAACACATTCCCAAGTAAGGAAGAAAAATATTATGCATGAGATTTTTGATCGTACGATAAAAAAAGGACACTGTCATCAGTTTGACAATTTCCCCGTTTCATACAAAACGGGATCTCGTTTAAGACCTTATATAACTATAGGACTCAAATAATTACAAAACAGATTATAACATGAGTTGTAAAATATATTAATTTGAAATGTGACTTGATGTGTCCCATGCTTAATAAGACCAGCGGACTTAACAGTAAATATATAAAATTTCAAATAAGTACCAAGGATAGTGCGGACGATGATTTAGCTGAAATACTGAAATAGAAACAAAATGTTTTGTTTATCATCATTGTTTGCCCAAGGCGATATAAAGAACAATGTTTCTAGGTTAAGCTGATGTATAAAAATAACTTTAACATATAAATCCTCAAATAACTTCCTCGTATCGGGTGAACATATAAGGTATGTTATTGTTTAGCAGTTTACCGGCCAGCAGTAAGAAAACGTGTACCGTATATACCCGGATATTTATAAGTTTATGTGCGGGTGTCAAATTCATTACCGTAGTATGACAGCACACATGGTTGTTTCATGCTCTATTATTAGCAATGAATGCATTTAAAACCCTTCTTGAATATAGTATATTTCATAAAATGATTTTGCAGAACAAAATACTACCAATGTAAAAAGACATGAAAACAGTACGCATATATAAAATGGGAACTTTCAATGAGACATATTGATACAAAATGGTAATTAAGAAAAGTTGAACAAAAATCATTTTAATACAGACATTGATGAACACATTCCAAGCAAGGAAGAAAAAAATTGATGCATGACATTTTTGATCGTATGATAAGGACACAGTCATAATTTTCACAATAGTTAGAAAATATATCAATTTGAAATTTGACTTGATGTGTCATAGCTTGATAAGACTAGGCCATCCCGACAATAAATAAATCAACCCTATGACAAGTACCAAAGATAGTGCGGACAAAAGCTGAAACACTGAAATAGAAACAAACAGCATACATGGTTGTTACAGGCTCTATCATTAGTAATGAATGCATTTAATTAAGTTACTTTAGTAAGATATCGTTATTTGCAAAAATCAGATACATTTTGAATGATGTATAAACTCTAATTGTATATATTAGGGTTGTCAAACCGGTCAAAGTTTTGTAACCAGTTACTCGAACAATCTTTCAATCGAGTAATAGGTGAATCTGTCAATTTGGTAATCAAACAATAAACAACATTAAGCACATTATATGTTTTAGCAAATGTTCTATATAAAACGTTTTTGCACAACAAACACACACGTATTTATTAATTAGGAGGATATTTTACTAGCATATTTCAAGCTACATGCAGGAAATAGTTTAATGTATCCTCAGTAAGTAAATTTCATAGACAAGTAATTTTGGAATACAGTAAGGCGGGATTCAGTTACAATTATCTGTACTCGAAATATATGCAGTGATATTGTTCTTCAGAATAAAATTTGATCGACAAACGTTTTAAGACATGCTTGCTTATGTTTGATAATAAAGTGTGTACTGTACTTTTTATATTATATTAACATATCGCATGTAAAAGCGCATTCTACCTCTAAAAATTAATATATTTCTCAACTTTGGATTCTGGCTTCAAAATCGCACTGAATGCAAATATAAGGATTTGATCCTTTTATGTTGAGGGTCATGGGATATAAACCTCCACAGAATATGACATAATCCTTAATTAATGACTTAAGTAGCAGCTGAACGTACACAATCGTTCTTCAATTGTTGAATCAACTACACTTGTTTCCCATACTTATCAGCATTTAGCCTACAGCATCGCTTTTTCTTTTAGTATTTAACCATTACATGTCCAGCGTACCGGTTGTCACGTGGGACAGCGTAGAAAGGGTTCCTATAGGGAAAAGCGTGGAACCAATATAGATTAGAAGTATTGCAATGGTTTACAGCTTACCAGTGTTAGTTTGGTATGAAACCTACACGGAAGACAAAGAAGAAGGAAGAACTTAATTCTTATATGTCTTCTTTCGATGAACGGACTTATGAATAAGTAGACGGGACTGTGTAATACAATCAAACAGGTAACAAATATATCAAACAGTTAAAGGGGTTTTAAGAGACCGAAATTTGAAATTTTTAAACCCTTCTTGAATATAGTATATTTCATAAAATGATTTTGCAGAACGAAATACTACCAATGTAAAAAGAAATGAAAACAGTACGCATAAGGAAAATGGGAACTTTCAATGAGATATATTGATACAAATTATAAATAGGAAAAGTTGAATAAAACTCATTTTGATACACACATTGATTAACACATTCCCAAGTAAGGGAGAAAAATATTATGCATGAGATTTTTGATCGTACGATAAAAAAGGACACTGTCATCAGTTTGACAATTACCCCGTTTCATACAAAACGGGATCTCTTTTAAGACCTTATATATCTATAGGACTCAAATACTTACGAAACAGATTATAACATGAGTTGGAAAATATATTAATTTGAAATGTGACTTGATGTGTCCAAAGCTTAATAAGACCAGGCGGACTTAACAGTAAATATATTAAATTTCAAATAAGTACAACCAAGCATAGTGCGGACGATGATTTAGCTGAAATACTGAAATAGAAACAAAATGTTTTGTTTATCATCATAGTTTGCCCAAGGCGATACAAAGAACAATGTTTCGGATAAATTTCGGATAAATTTCGAATAATGTATAAACTCGATCGAGTAATCGGTAAATCTGTCAATTTGGTAATCAACCAATAAACAACATCAAACACATTATATGTTTTAGCAAATGTTCTATATATTTACACCACAAACATACACGTATTTATTAATTAGCAGGATAGTTTACCAGCATATTTAAAGCTAAATGCAGGAAATATTATCACGTATCCTTCTGACCGAGTAACCGGTTAGCCGTTGACAACCCTAGTATGTATATATACTAGGTTTGTCAACGGTTAGCCGGTTAACCGGTTACTCGGTCAGAAGACCACGAACCGGTTACCGAAATCAATAACCGAAGAGTCGGAGATCTACATACCCCTTACAGTGTTGCTGTATACTCTATTATAAGAATTGATAAAGACATGCCGCCAGCACCATAAAAAAACCTGCACAGACTTTAAAAGGAAGCCAGAATAACAAGTTGTTAAATATTAATTTTTAGAGGGAGAATGCGCTTTTGCATACGATATGTTAAGATAATCTGAAAATGCACACTTGAATGAGCAAGCATGTATTAAACGATTGTAGATCAAATTTTATTCTCACAACAATATAACCGCATATGATTTCGAGTACATATAACCGTAATTGAATCCCGCCTTACTGTATTTCAATTCGTTGTCCATGAAATATATTTACTGAGATTACATGTAACTTTTTCATGCGTTTAGCTTGAAATACGCGAGTCAGCTATCATGCTAATTAATATATACATGTATGCATGGGGTGTAAATACGTTTTAAATAAAACATTTGCTAAACATATAACGTATTGTCGATATTTATTGTTTGATTACCAAATTGACCTGTTACTCGATCGTAAGATTTTTCTAGTTTGTGGTGGTTTTGGGTTGGTTTTTGTTTTTTTGCATTTTAAAGATATATATTCTCTATTAAAAAGACTGTATCTCTAAAGTCTTGGGGTTTTTTTTCGGTTTTTTTCTTTGTTATGGATCCATTGTAACTGATAAACTCATATAATTGCATATACCTTAACAATGGACTAATAGATTCAACAAGAAAATTATAGACTGAGGTCTGGACGTAAACCAAACGAGAATTTGACACCTCTCTAGAAACAAGCTTTATACTTGTGTGTTGCATTGTAAATTTTAGCATTTAAACTGCAAAAAATGTACATGAAAAATAACAAAACAAAAAAATGTATATATAATTGATTGACCACTAGTGAGTATGACAAATACACAAACATCCTGGTTTATTTCAACATCGATGAAGAAGTTTTAATAAGGCATAAGAAGCATTTAACCGCGTTTCCTTTAAAGAGAATTCTAAAACTACTCTTTCATTTTATAGTTTGAAAAAGGGAATCACTTTTTTTCCTCAAATGGTTTGAAAAACCAAAGCAAGGAAAAATATATATGATAGCCCTCGATATTCTTACTTCATAAAATCACAAAAAAAAAAATAACGAGGGCAGCCAACATCATATATAGTCCTATTGATTCCAAACAATTTACACTATCATAATTCACGCGAATAGACATACAATCAGTGATACATTACAAATAATCATACAGATAGACACACAAATAATCATACATGTAGACACACAAATAACCATACAGGCACACACACAAATAATCATACAGGTAGAAAAACAAAAGTCATGCATGTAGTCATGCATTAATGAAAAAGTCATACAGTCTTTTTGATATACCTGTATATAATCAAACACACTTACTGTTAGCTTAAACCGTTATCACTAGAACTTACTGTTTTTCTTGTTGTTCACTTGCGACTTGGTTCCCAACACTGCGTCCACTTGAAAAATATTCTATTTTCGTGCAACTTTTCATGCAGTTTTCAGAATATAAAATGATGTCAATTAGTTTGTTCTTGTTTTATATATAGCAACAAGTGGGCGTGGTTTAAGTATGATATCTGACATGTGGGCGGTGATACGTGACGTTTAATATTTTTTACCCGATGACATTATATACTCTATACGAGACACTTTCTACAGCACAAACACTTTAAATAAATTCTCCCTATCCATTTACCTCATGACCAAGCTGTGTATATTTTTCGCCCCGACTTTGAAATAATGCATGTATCACATTGCAAAATTTGGACAAACATCAAGAAAATATTAATGCTAAGGATATTTGCTTCTTGAATGACATTTTCCTTTACAAAGCTAAAAAATTATATATATCTGACTTTTTTCAGTCACTCTGTAAGGTTCGTGTCTCAATGAGTAGATGTAAGTGATACATTTTAGAATAGTTCAGAAGTAAACTGGATTATATGTGCAAGAATTATTTTTCTTGTGAATTTGCTTGTTCGCCGTGCTTTAATAATCATCGTAAGACATAAAAATTTCTCGGTAATTTTCTTAGGTTAAGTTGTTGTAATTGATAACAAGAGATCGAACAATATAAAGTTATATTCTTCAAAAACGTAAAATATACATGAATTTTGAAAAAAATATAGCTTGGTCCAGATGATTCTACATGTAGTTTAATTATGGTTGTTTATTTATAAATTTATTAATTCATTGAAAAAATAATAGAAAAATTAGGGTAAATATAATTATGCTTAAACTAGAATTTCATGTCATTCATGCCAGACTAAAATACTATATTGGTTTACATAACTTATTACGTGGAGCTAATCAGGGTGTGAAACGCTTAATCCAGATGGATATCTCAACAAGGAAACATTGTTAATCCGCTCTCATAATCCGAAAATTTTGCTATCTGACCAAAACGTAAGTCATGATTCGATATGTAAACCTCAGCCCCGGCAAGTATAAAATCATCACTAGAGGTACAAAGGTACAAGGCACTTATTGTATAGGTCAACACAGAAAGCCAAACAGCGAACATTTTAAATACAGTCAATGAACCTTTCGACCATTTAGCACCCATAAGAGAAACTAAACGATCAAAAAATTGAACAAGGTGTTGTCTAGATTGTTCTGAATATAATATTGCATACTTTATCTCTTTTTAGAAATGGACGAAAAACCCGTTTATCATTAAGCAGACGTGCATCGCTCTGAACTGCCACCCGACTCTTTATAGACTAAACATTACTAAAACAGACGCATATGGATTGCCATGACAAAAACATGTATGAATATGTTAACGGCAGGTGTTTATCACTCCGCCATGCTACATTAAGCAGTATGGATCACGTATTGTTACGTATACAACATATGTATCGTGCATCACTGCAAGGGGTTTCCAGAATAATTATAGACAAGATATCACCATCATATCAGTATTTTTTGCTGCAGAAGTGCATCACTCCACGTGATTTAAAACCTTAAGATAAGAATTTGACATCGATAAAATAGTATATTATCGGTATAAAGCTGTTCTACTATACTAACCATGACGTGTTGTCTCAATGAACAAACTTGTATAACAAGTACCAGACATTGTTCTGCTCATTTCCTTTCCTTAGAAGGTATCAAACGTCACTGAATGATTTTTTCATTCGAAATAAAAACCAGATGGAAATATAATAGTAACAAAGTCGAAAAGCATGAGTAAGAATCTCCCCCATGGACGAATGTTCGGTGGAAAACATATATCCTAAAACATCAATAACAAATGCCAATCATTCAAAACAGTTGGTTTGATTTGATTCACTGTAAATAATTCGTAGATTTTTGTAGAATGTTGGGGTTCGTATGTATATTTATGACTCTTTTGAATGTCATATATCCATGGCCGATACATACATGTATCTCTGCCTCTGATTCCCCGGACTGGCAACTGTACTTGCCTCTCCTCATTCTGAAGTCGTGATCTTTCTATTGATTTCGACTACAGCCTGCCAATATCAAAGATTGTTTAGAATGTTACAAAAACGTATATAATACTACTTTACACTATGATATACTTATGTGAGAATGTTTTCCGTAAGAACTTTTTTATTTGTTTGAGGCCAAAGAATTTAAGCGTGCTCAAATAATACCACATTGTATTGTGCATGATATCATTTGCGATTTTAGTCATACATTGGCAGTGGTGTTGTTACCCTCAGTCAATTTGAAAAATCACATACAAGATTAAATTTTGCTCCTCACATTTTAAAACAGGCTAAAAATGTCTAAATGTTCCTCCTCCTTCAACTGTAATTTGTAATTGTGCTGCTGTCCGTCAAAATGAATACATCTAACAAACCATACACAATGGCTACTTTGCCCCCATTCTCGCTATTTCAAGGGTAAGGCTCAGTGTGCGTCACCTTGTAGATGAGACGAGAAGACTAGTTTGATATTTTGATGTACATCAAAAGAATCGCTCGGTCGAGTAACGGTAACACTGACTGGCTTTGAAGCCGTGTGTCACTCCTCTGTACCTCATAATGTACATTGTAATGTATTTGAGGAAAACCAATTAACTTGAAATTTGTAATCTCCAATGGCCAAGGTATCGGCCTAGCGATTGGTCAGGGTTTTTGTATACAGGAGACCAAGCAAATAGCTAGCCGTGTGCCTTTAATTTTGCTTTGACATATTCCAGGGTGCAGAGAGCGTAAGTGAACATCGAGAATGTTTTGCCCCGCAAAGGCTTGTATTTCGATGTGTTCAAAATATAGACCTTCTTCAGCCATCGACCCACTTTGGAAAGAGTTTCCCAATCATCTTCAGTACGTTCATCAAATGGTATGAGCTGGTTACGTCGTCGATGAACACAGCTATGATGTCTCCTGTCGAAAAGAAGTTTTTTATACGAGTGTCCTGGTTTTGTTACGATAGGTTAGCAATAGGGGGTAAGATTGATATTCTTGACAAGGGGGTTGGATTGGTCAATGTGGCTGGCAGGTGACAATACCTGTGCAGAATAGATGTTGTAGGAGTATGACAAAAGTCGGTGGGGTTGATATCATTGTGACAGGAGGGTGACAAAAGTCGGTGGGGTTAATATCAAGGTGACAGGAGGATGACAAAAGTCGGTAGGGTTGATATCATTGTGACAGGAGGATGACAAAAGTCGGACGGGTTGATATTATTGTGTCAGGAGGGTGACAATAGTCGATGGGGTTGATATAATTGTGACAGGAATCATTGAAATAGGAGGTGACAATATTATGTTATATATGCGGGGCACTCTATGCAATATATGCAAACTTTTGTTGATGACACTTCCCGATTATCACTAGATGTACCAAATTCTGATGCAGTTATTACTTTCAATATTTGAAAATATTTTACAGATATTTTGAACAATTAAAACATCAACTTGTCTTCATATGCTTACATAAAACATTGTCGCATGATTATTAGTATCTACCAACGTTCTTGCTGCGCCCGTGTAAAACAAGCACCCAACGTCCAGCATCTGCATAAAAGTATTACGTCACAAAGAAGATAATGACGTCACTGTGACCTCATACAGGATACTTTTACTCTAAAATTCCTGCTTTTTTAACCTATGGAAAATGAATAAAGCTAAGTCATTGATGTCTCTATTAGATATCCCTTCCTGCGTCTTCCTTAAAAGGGATTGACGTAACGTTATCATTCACTATGTAGTGATTTTTTTCTTACTAATATGTTCAAATAAAACCGACTCCCCACATTTTATTATTAAAGCCATCGACATCAAATTATAGAAAAATGTTGTGGGATGTTTTCAAATTTAAAATAACGATATTATACATATTTTTATCTCTCCATTAAGAAAATATCACCTTTTTCCAGCTTAAACCAATTATGTCGTTAACTCAGATTATGTAAAAATTATGAAAACTAAATCGTGAAATAAAAGCCACATCCTTCACACAAAATATGGTTGAAATTTGAAAACGATAAATTAGAAAATGTACAGGAAATGAAACTCTGAGATATCATTAATGGGTACGTATGTTTTGGCTGTTATTGCGTGAAAAATACAATCATAAAACATTCACAAAAAAACCCTTTAAATTGTGTTCATAAATGAAACAAGAAAATGACGTTCGAATTAACGTTTTCGACGCAAAACAGCGTAGCGTTACATAACGGCTAGATCTGGAAAAATAAATGCTTTGCAGCGGTGTTAGGACACACAATATATTTAAGTTATGCTTCACAATGCTGATTCAGAGATCTTGCCTGTGCACTTTTTGTCATCAAAGAAAACAAATGTGTCATTTCATTAGAAAGACAAAATTATGGTATTTTTTTTCTTAAAAAGTCGCATGTTACGGACCGTTACAGAAAGACCAGATCCAGTAATATTTCAATTCCCCAAATAATATTGCTCCAAATTCTATAAACTTTTGCAGATCGTTTGGGTAGATTAAGAACTTGCACCAAACCAAATACAGACAAGTGAAAATACATATTCATCTATCAATCATCTTGCAAATGATTGGACATATTAAACAACAACAAAAAATTCACAAATGTGGTTTCCCTGTAGTTTTTGAAAATTTTAAAAATGATATCTATTTTATTTAATATATAATTCAAAAAAACATTGTTTTATAGCTTTAAGATTCAAATATCTTCAGAATGGGTCCATATTTTACTTTAAAATATTTATTTTCAAACGTGCAACCCAGTTATATTACACAATTCATTGGAAAACGGCGCATTTTGACGTTATATCGGCGGTTATTTACGTTGCACTCGTAACTTCTATATTTGTTGGAATACTCAGGCATTAAAGCAATGTATTTACAAGACAGAGACCCCGTTCTAGATTTGTTTATGATAATTGGTAGTTTTAAAGTAGCACGCACTTCCTGGTGATAGGAAAATAAGTCAGTTATATCGCTTTTCATTTTTATATCCAAAAATAATTTACATACAAAACATCCGGATTCTTAACCTGGATTGTGAACCATTTAGTATTTTGT